CACACAGACACACAACACAAAGAGAGACACAACACAGGGACTCACATAGACACACAACACAGACACACAACACAGACACACACAACACACAGAGACACAAGCAACACAGAGACACACACAACACACAGAGACACACACAACACACAGAGACACACACAACACAGAGACACAACACACAGACACACAACACACAGAGACACACACAGACACACATAACATACTGCTGCTGAGTCGGTTTGCGTTGTATTAGACGTTAAATGTGTGTACCTTTGTGTACATGTGTTTTCCTACCTGTGTGTACTTACGTGTGTATGTACTAATTGTTTATCTGCTTCTGTGCCTCTTTCCTGTGGGGTCCCGCAAGGCTCCATTCTTGGACCCCTTCTGTTTTCATTGTATCTGCTCCCCTTGGGGTCTATCCTGAGGAAACATGGTCTTTCCTTTCATTGTTATGCTGATGACTCTCAGATTTATCTGCCGTTAACACCTAACAGTTCCTCCTCCATTCGCCCTTTGTTAAAATGTCTTCATGACATCAAGACTTGGATGGCTGCGAACTTTTTGAGTTTTAATGATCAGAAGACTGAGGTCATTTTGTCCCTAGCTCTGCCACTGTCACTGATCCTGCAAACCTGGACTCCCTTCAGCCATATCTAAAACAGTCTGTTACCAATCTCAGGATAGTTTTAGACTCGGACTTTAAGTTTAATAAGCAGATAAACTCTGTTCTTCAAAAAAGCTTCTTTCAGCTAAGGCAGATAGCTAAGCTCAAGTCCATGCTGTCCAGGTGCGACCTTGAAAAATTAGTCCATGTATTTATTACAACCCGGCTGGACTACTGTAACTCACTTTATGCTGGGGTCAGTCAGGTCTCTCTCTCACGTCTCCAGCTTGTCCAAAATGCTGCAGCTCGGCTACTAACAGGAACTCGCAGGTTTGAGCACATTACTCCAGTTCTGTCCTCCCTTCACTGGCTTCCTGTGCGTAACAGAGTTGACTTTAAGACTCTTCTGCTGACATTTAAGTGTGTTAATGGCCTTGCACCATCATACCTCTCCGACCGTCTTCATCCTTATACTCCTTCTCGGGCCTTAAGATAATCAGACCAGCTGCTTTTGGTCGTACCTAAAACCAGCTGGAGCTCAGAGGAGATCGGGCGTTTTCAGTCATGGGCCCTAAACTCTGGAATAATCTGCCCATCAACATTCGACAGGCCACCTCAGTCTCTATTTTTAAATCTCTCCTCAAAATACACCTGTACTTATTGACATTTAACACAGTGTGATCTCATTTGTTATTTCGTTGTTGATGATTGTGTTCATCCATTTTGCTTTTACTCCCTGACATTTAACGCAGAGTGATTTGATTTAGTATTTCATTGTTTCTCATTATATTTCATGTTTTTATGCTTTTATTCATGATGCTGCAATATCTTTGTAGTGTGTCAAGGTCGGCTTTGCTGTGGACATACGGTCCCACCAAATGTGTTATTTAAAACACATACGGTCCCACCAAACGTGTTATTTAAAACACGTACGGTCCCACCAAATGTAGTGAAATGATGGGGGACAGCTTAGCTGTACCTTGACTACTAATTATTTAAAAATAACGGTTTCTTTCTTTTTCGAGTTAAATTAATGCCATGTGACGAGGTAACTGTGAGGATTGTTTAATCAGTGACAAGAGACGTTAATTTTCCTTTGACCCATCAGAATAAATGAGGTCATTTATTTAACAGAATCAAAATTTAACATCAAAACATGTACACATGATTAGCTGATCTGGTTCTGATTAATAAAACTTGGTACGCTTTACTAATAAGACAACAAGACATTTCTGAAGGCATCTAGATTACTGGCAAAATAGAAGAGTTTAAAGGAAGGAATTTAAAGGTTTAAGGAAAAGATGGGTGAAGGGAGGTGTATGTTTGGCCAGGATGGCACGCTTCTTTCAATCACCAGCTCAAACCTCCGGTACACTTAGCGCGTCACGACTCGTTACCTTCGCAGCAGATAAATCAGCTCCGGTGTCGGGTCCATTTCAACGCTACCTTCCAGTGTCTCCGGTAAGAGCGGCTGGTCATCGTCAGAAGTCGTGTTGGTTTACTCCGTTCAACAAACGGGCTCAGCTCCCTTCGAAGTTGGAGGCATTACGCCCGGGTGGATTCACAGCAAGCATCTGTGAGTCCGTCAGTTTCCACTCAGAAGTGGAAGACTCCACAAGGCTTGAGAAGACTCCATCAAAGACCGAGTTCAACTCAGATCCAAGACTTCAGAAGAACGGAGTAGACTGGAAGACTCAGTAGACTGACTGTTACGATTACGCGGGGAACCCAGATAGTTTGAGACCCAGAACGAGGCAGACACAGGGGAAGTACAAAATGAACAGTGTTTATTATGTACAGTGAATGTAGACACACGGCTTCTCAGCAACTCCTGGAAAGAGGGACGACAGGTTAATGTTGGTCCAGAGGGGAAGACCTGAGTGGTTGTTTGAAGGAGATTTTTGTCCTTACAGTCCAAACCCGAAGGAGGGGAGCTGGTCCTTCAGTCCAGAGAGAGAGCAGCAGAGGGGAATCCAACGAGGGTCCAAGGGAACGAGGAAGGCTGGCAACTGGAGGCAAAAATGG